CCCGCCTTTAAATGTAGCACTATCACAATTATACAGCCACGTCGCGGTGAATGACATAGTAACGCCATTACAAAAAGTGCAGCACACAGCCAAAAAGACAACAAATACAACACAAATGAGACGTTGTTATCAGCTTTATTTCTCAAACTAAACTATTCACAACAAATATCCATCTGTAGAATATTCACGTCAAAGCTTGTCCAATGGCGATGTCGTAATTTCTGTTGATGTAAAATAAAAACAATCAGTTCCATTGAAATGTCTATATAATGTTTAACTATAACATGTCAATTGTAACTCACAATTACACACAGAATTTTGCACGTGTTAACATGATTAACTAGAATTTTTCGAAATATTTCTAGCAGCTATTTATAAATTATTTTAAGTATGTTACTGTATAGTACTTTTTTCACTTATTTATTTTGACTGGTCGAATGAATCAGTGAAAATAAAATCATATATATCATTTATGTAAACATATTTTTTTCTTTTATTTCACTTCAGAGTAACTGAAAATAAACTCCATACGAAAGGGAATAACGCACAATCAAAATAGAAAAATTATATTAAATAAGACTTTTCAAACATTTACTAAATAAATCATACTAATATGTGAAGTCTTCATACATATGGCAGAGATGGGTCAATCTGTTAAGTATCAATCAAGACTACAAAATCTGAATTCCAAAACACGGGTCATGCGTGTGATAATGAATGATATCATGTTCATAGCAAGAAAAACAGAACTAAAAAACATAGCATAAATTATGAGTATAACGTTTCCTATTCATACGCATCGCGATTCATAAAATGACCAAAACAAATACTTTGTAAATAATAATATTAAAAAAAATACTTTTTTTTTGCACATTTTCAAAATTTACACATATATCATCTAGTCCTGTTTAATATTTAGATTTCTACTTCATAGCTCCAATTATTGTACATATACAAAATACACGTGATGATGAATTACTTGAGTGACCTGGTAGTTTGATCAAGTCAGCCATCTTGAGAAGGCGATACAAATCAAAGTGACGAAATATATGTCCAAAATTGAATTTGTGAAAAACAAAATGGCCGCACCATTTTCAGTCGAATTTTCAAATCAAATTGGCGTGAATTTATTATCCATTATGGTTTATCAAGTTTGAAGTAAATCGGTTACAAATGATCGAGATCAGGCTCTGGAGATGTCAACATACTTGATGTTGGTGTATGAGGTTTGAAAATAATTGGTAAATTGAAATCAGGTATACAGTGCCATACGGGCGCATGCATGGAGAACTAAAAAAGTCACACAAAGGGCCTGGAATAATCAAGGAACTTTGTACATGTACATTCATAATAATAATCCACTTTCTTTCGGAATGTGAACACTTACATGCCGAAATACAGCAAACACGTTCGTTTCTGCAACCGGTACCGAAAACCTCATTTTCATCTCTATTGCATTTTTTTGCACGGCATATACCACCCACATCAGCTACACAATCATCACCAGCTAAGCCAGGCAAAATAAGAAGAAAAAAACATTGAGTTGAAATATGCATTTTCGTTGCATGTTGTTTCTAAGTTGATGTTCACATCAATCAAAATCTAAGTAAAATGATATTTAACTGCGTTTGTTATTGGAAATAAACTCGTCGTTGTTGTGAAAACTTACCTGGCGGTGTACAACACACGTCATCTCCTGAACAGCTTCTTTTACACCATTGTTTTTGAGTCTGATTCGACTGGCATGAAGCACGGCATTCACCATTACACACAGTCTCACAGTCACGTGCTGATGGGGACATGAAGACAAATATATGAGCAATGATAATTTATCACGAAATAGTACCAACATTTATATGATAATTCAAGCAGAAGTAAATTATTTATTATCAGTGTCTCGTCAGATCAGAATACATACTTGGACTACAGGCGTAAACTGCCTACACTTCCCGTCAAAATTGAGATTTATTTTGCATACCCTAGACTCGCATTTCCTACTGACTTGTTAAAATTCACTTTCTGCGGTACACGATTTAAAGGAAATATGCTTTCATTCGTTTGCTCACTTCGATGGGTTCTCCAATTTACAGTAAGTATAGTTTACATGTTTAACTTTATCTTAGCTGCTCTTATTGATAAATAAT